TGCAGAGCTTGCAGCTTGTTGGATATCCACGTCTGCAGCTGCCCTGTGCACGGTTTGCTGTCTCTAGGAGGCAACACCAGGCTTGCTTCAGGAAAGCCCTTTGCACCGAGGCCTTGCTCAAGTGAGAAGTGAAAGCAGTTGCTTTTTCTGAGAATGACTGACTGTTTTGATGAAGCAAGGAGTCCCCTTCCAGAGATGAGCAAGGCACTCCCCTCCTTTCTGTTTCTGACGAGGCTCTGGAAGGATTTGGAGGGTGAAAGGCTGCCTTGTTTAATTATATATTCAAAGTTAATCTTCTCCACCTTCAGACTGAAAAGGTAGATAGGTTTCCTCTTCCCACATATCAAACAGCAGCTGGAGATATACTTGTCTTGCTCCTATTACAGTACCCTGGACTTTTTTATTAGAGTCTTTATTCCATGATGTGCTAGAAGATCATAAAATCATAGAAAAATTTGGCTTGCAAAGGACCTTTAAGATCATCTAGTTCCAAACCCTTTGCCATGGGAAGGAACAACGTTTAACCCCATGTGGCATTATATTTTCCTTCTTTTGACTCTATTTCTTCCAAACAAATCAGAGGGAAACTTGAATGATTTGAACTTTTTGTTAGTGCCTCCCTGGAAGGGATTGTAAAAGGAGTAGGAAGGGCTCACAGGAATCCTAAAGCGCTTTACCTTGACTTTCCATAGGGCTAAAATTCATTGGTGTAAAAAATTGGAAGCTAATGGCCTAAAATACTTTCCTTTTTAAATGTAATTATTTGGGCTGCCCAACATTTGGTCTTGTAACCTGAATCCTGATCGTATCAGCAGTTTCCTCCAACAACAACAACGAACTCTAATGCTGAACTTGAAGGGCACAGCTTTGCTTTGGGCCATGCTGTGTTTCACAAATATGTGATGGAATATTGATGACAAATTAATTGAGCCTCTGCCTTCTGCAAGTGAAGGAGAATTTGGCCTCTGCTTCTTCATCCCTGAAGGGTCACAGGTTTGTTTGTTGTTTCTATCTATGAGTAAAACCCATAGAAAACTATAAATATAAGATAGATACATTCTTCATGAACAGGATTATCTGTAATAATTTTAGCTGGCTAACTTGTAGGCATTTAGTCTGGGCTGTCCTTTCAGCTGCAGGCCTGTGTACACTTGAAGTGAAGCACCATGCAGGGTACTCATCTCTCTCCTCTGAGCCCAGGGAGCTCTCTTGGGTTCAGAATTTTGCTCTCAGATAGCAGCAGTGAGGCAAGACCATCACACCCAGCATCATCCAGAGTCACAGGGCTCGCTGTCAGTGGAAGATGGTGGCGTCTGAGAAAAGCTGCCCAGCAAGCAGCTCTGGCAGCTCTGGGCTGTTGGGAGAAGGCCCTGCAGGATCTGCCTTTAAACACCTTTGTATGTAACCACAGTTGCATCAATAAATCTCTTGTGCTGGGATTGGTTTTCCTGGGCTTCACTGAGAAACTCGGTTTCCAGGAAGATAAAACGCTTCATTTACAGCTGTGTTACTGAATTTTGGTAACCCCTAAAAGTAAAATCCTTAAATGAATCACTGAATAAGGCCCATGGGAGAGAAAAAAATTTATGGTAGACAGATGTGATCTGGATTTACAAGTAATTCAGCTTTTACGGTCTGTATTTCTCAAACTATTATCAGGAATCATGGTCTAACCCAATCCAGATGCACACTAAAAACATTGGATGAGGAAAATCCTATTAAAAAGAAATGTTCTGGCACACTTCAAGGGCCCAGGCCACGTTCCAGTGATTCAGTTCAGCTGGTCCCCATTGGTACTGGCTGCACTGGGCCAGCTCTGTGGATTGGACCCCAGCCAGCTTTGGGGTGCAGCCTCCCTCCCTCATGTCATGATTTGGAGCAGTGTCTGGATGTGGTTCTGGGACTCCTGTGTCTCTCCAGGACTGGAGCAGCAGGCAGTGTAGGCAGGAGGCTGAAGCTGAGTTTGCTGCCCTGTGCAGGAGAGCTGGAGCTGGGCCTGTGCCGGGGTTTGAAGCTGTGAAACCACGCAGGGCTCTCGAGGCGGGCGCCGCAGTGCAGCCTCCCTGCCGGCCCCAGGCTTCCTCTGCCGGGCCCTGGGGCTGCTCTCGGCCTCTCACCACTGCCTTTTTCTCACTTGCTGTCCGCAGCACTTCTCAATTGCCTTTTTTCTTCCTTTCTTTTTTTCTTTTTTCTTCACCCGTGCTTCAGAAAGTAAAAGGCCACAGGGGGTTGTTGCAGAGCTGCTTTGGGGAGACGCCAGCCTCACGTCCAGATGCGGGAGTGCAGGGACCTGCAGCAGCAGGAGAGAGTGCCCAGGCACAGAGGAGAAAAGGGGAGAACAAAATCCAGGCTTTGGAAGGAGGAGGTGCTGGGAAGAAAGTTCTCAGGGGCAGAAGCACAGGTGCTGACAGAGCTCCAGGTGTAGGCAATTGGGATTGAGGAGGGCTGGAAACCTGGGTAGTGCTCTACTCAGTGACTGTCTCCTCTCAGTTCTGGTATGTGAGTATTGGAAAGGCACTGTGAGGTTAACAGAGTGGGAATCATCAGTGAAATATTTGCTGTTTGTGCTTTGCTCTGTGTGAGACAGCTGAGTGTGGCTGCTCCCTCCGGCCTGGCAGGTTTTGCTCTGCCCAGCTCCCATCATCAGTTCATCTGCTGTGACCTTGGCCTCAGCCCCAGACCATGGCTGATGAGGGACACAAAGCACATTTTGGTGGTGCCTAAAGGACTGGCCTTGTGTTTTGAAGAGCCAGGAACCCCTCCTCTAGTGATGTAAAAACCCAAACTGGTCCCGTTCACCTGAATGGATGGTAACTGTTTCAACTGCCACTTGTTCATTGTGCTTCCTATCTCTTTGACCTTTCTTTCAATAGGCTTTCTACCTTCTGCCTTTTTCTCACTTTCTAGTCCAGAACCCTGGTTATTATTTTCAAAGGTTATTATTTAGAAAGTGCTTTGTGCATTTTGCTTTGTTTAAGAATACAGAAATCAAACATATTAAGGAAGGAAATAACACAACCTAACAGACAGGACAAGGGCAAGTAGCTTCAAACTGCACCAGATTGGATATGAGGAAATTTTTCTGCACTGAAAGAGGAGTTAAGCATTGCAACAAGCTCCCCAGGGAAATGGTGGAGTCATCATCCCTGGAAATGTTAAAAAAATCAATAGATGTGACACCTCACAATATGCTTTAGTGGGCATGGTGGTATTTGGCTGAAGGTTGAACTTGATATCGGAGTTCTTTTCCTACCCTGATAATTCTATCCATTTAATTGGGTTTTTTCCAAAACACTGGACTTTGTCATAGTCTCAAAACATGTTTTTCCAGGGACAAACACAGGCAGAGCAGCAGGCCTTCCCTCACTGAACAGCTTTAATCCATTGCCTGGGATGCTGGAGCCCCACATAAGCACTGTGTGGGCACTTGGTTGGCTCTGCAGAGTCAGCCAAGGTTGACAATGGTTGGCACAGGGCCACAGCTAAATCCCCTGCACTCTTGACATCTCCATATTCCTCTATGTCTCCGGCTTTGTCTCCTCCTGGTTTGGGGACTTTATTAGTGCTGGAGAAATATTGGACTTGAGAGGATTGTGTGAATATGCCTGGCTTTGGTACAAAAAGAAGGATTCAGGGCCAGGATACCCAAAGAGTACACAAAAATGCTGCCTTCAGCAGCATCTCAGATGTCTCCAGGCTGGTGTAAAATATAGTCCTGTGAACTGTTTAGAAGAAAATCTCTGGGAAGGCAATCTCAGCTCGTTTGTTGGTTTTATATACAATGTTGGGAAAATAATGTAATCTCTCTGTCTCTGTTTACCCCATATAAATGAAATTTTATAGTCCTGAGGAAATGTGGTGAAGGGTATTTTTCATAAAGTGCTTGAACCATATTTTTTAAATGACAGAAAAAGTGGGAAAAGAAGGAAAACCTTCTGGGATCTCAATTTATATCCATGGATTTGTTTCTAAATGCATGATTTAGAGAAAAAATGAATGCAGGCTCCTAGTTCAGACAAACAAACAAATCTACTCTGTGGTATTTTTTCTGGGTGTGTGAGGCTGTCAGAGGGAACAGAGATTGTTTATCTTCATCAAAGGGCTTTTCAGGTTATTGATAATTTTTGTCTTTCTCTTTTGAACTCACTCCAAATCTGCAAAAAGCACAAGTCAGATTAATTTTAAAGTGTTTGTTTCTTTGCTTTTTTTATATAACTGTGTAATACAAGCTTTTCCTTGGGGGATGGACATGGAGCTGTATATTGGATCTATGGTTACTTAGCCTTTGATTTTTTTAGTTATACTTTGTGAACTTTCTACATCATTATTAGCTGATACAGGGGCAGTTTTATCAGCTTTATCTGCTGAAACCCAACAATCTTAAGGTTGGATTAAGATTGGACGTGGTCAGTGTATAAATATTTAAATGGTGGCTGAAAAGATGGAGACTCCCTTTTTAGGAGTCACATGGAAAATATGAGGGGCAATGGGCTCAAGTTACTTTTGGAGCACTGAACGTGATGGTGTCAATCTTTCTTTACATTTAGTGCAGAATTGAGAAGCCCTCCCCTAAAACTTTGTCCAAACAATGTATTATCTCACACACACTTGATGAAGGAAGCCTTAACCAGGCCCAGCCATGAATCCCTTCAGGAGATGCTGCTGGGTTTTCCCAGAAAATAAACTGGTCCTGTGTTGGTTGGAGGAGCTTGCAAATATTTCTGTCCATGGAGGTACTCTCAGCTGGCTGAGATCCTGACAGTCTGGCTTAACTGAACCTGTTCAGAGAGAAGGCTTGACTTGCCATTTTCCTTTTTGACCAGATTAATCCTATAATTCTTCTATTCAGAATTCCATCTCCTTTGCCAAGGGGCAGTGTTTCTCTCACACTGGCTATTATTTTTCCATGGAGTGCTTGGCAGCACTGCCCCATTTATGCTGCCAAGCACCCAGTGACTCAAATGACTTTGTTTGCTGATGTGTCTGATCTTTTTCTGCAGATGCTGCATCAGTTCTTGGCCTCACAGATCCCAGGCTCTGCTACATGCTGGATGGATTCCTCTTCATTTATGCAGTGGTCATGACAGCCCTTTTTGTGAAGGCAAAGGTCAGTCTAACCCAACACAGATGCATTTGGATTTGGTGGTGTAAGCTGGGCTGGAAAGTGGGAGTGGAGGGGAACCATCTCTTGGAATGAGACCTTTCTATTCTTTTGCTTTCTTTCTCTCTTTTTCTTTATTTTTTTCCCCTCTGTTTTTGGTGTCTACTTGAGCAACCTAAAGCAGTTCTTTCCAAAGAGTATATGAGACTGTTTAGATGTTACACTTACGGATACATCAGAGATTCTGGATTTTGTAGATGGGAAGTGACTGATCAGGAGTAATGTGGATTTTTTTCTCCTGCTTTGTCATTGGAAAGAGAGGAAGGATGCACAGAACATACAGGGAAAATGGCAAGCTTGTGAAGGATGTACTAAAATGTCTCAACAATTCAGACATCTTTGATACTATGAGTGTGATGATGCAACAACCCAACCACAGGAGAGGACTTGTGTAATTGTTACAGACATGGTTCTATGCCTAAATATAGACTGAGCTAGAAGGTTACTTTTAATAAAGAATTGGATGTGATAATAACTCAAAAAGAGTAAATCAATACAGAATGTAGTTTGACAGGGCTTTTGTTTAAACACTACAATACAAAGCAGCTGCTCTCATTGATCCAAAACTGCCCCTCTTTACCAGGAGTTTTGGCTTAGCAGTTGATTTCTCATAAGTATTGTGAACAGCTGAGCCAAAGAGCAGCTACAAAAGGGATAATACTTCACCTCTTTGCTAACTGCCACTCACATCAACTTATTGGGGTGGCACCAGAGTCCTGCATGCCAAGTGCTGCTCCTGAGGGGTGCAGGGATTCCCTGCAGGAAGCCCAACAGCTTTGCAGGCAGCTGGAGAGCCAAAGTCTCAGGGAGGCACAAGATTAGGACAGGAAGAGAATGGAGAGACAAAATCTGAGGAGGGCAGGTGTGTAGGGAACAAACTCAGAAGTTTGTGAGCTGGTGTTATGTGAAATAAAATGACTTGGCTGCTGAGGGCAGGCTGCTGTGTGGATAAAAGTGCTGCTGCAGCAGGGATTTGCACTGCCTGTAGCCACACAGGGAGCTGCTTGTGGGTTGCCCTGTTTCTGATGAGGGTAACTGGCAGGAGAGAGGGAATGAAGGGACTGTGTCTCTGCTCATGGAATGGTTTCTATGGTCTCTCTTGCAGCTCAGCCAGGCCTCTGAACCCCAGCTGCGAGCAGGCCAGGATGACGTGTACAACGTGAGTAACTGCTGCTCCTTGTTCCCCAATCCACCATCCAGACAGACCTTTGGGGCACAGGGACACTGAACTGGCTGCTGGTCACAAAAGCTTTGGATGAGCCAGCTGATGAGCAAGGCTGTAGATGTGTGCAGCATGGCAACTGCAGGGAGGAAAGGTAAAACCTCACAGGGACAGCTTGTGGTGTCACCACTCTGGCCAGATGCTGGAGAGCTCCCTGGGCTGTTGATTGGGTTCCTGATTTGGCCCACCGAGCCCTAGGTTGGCAGGAGCCCAGGCTGTTTGCTGTGCTGCCCCATGGAACAAACAGGTTTGTGAGAGCTCTGGGTGTGTGTGCAGGCACTGCCCCTGTTGCTGTTTGATGTGGGCTGGGCCAAGGGCAAATGCCAAGGGATGCTGTGGAGCTGCCTTTGCACCTGCAGCTCGTGCACTCTCAAGTGTGTGGGGCCTGAGCCACCACAGCCCCTGTGCCTCCATTCCCAAGCTTTCCTGTTGTCCCACAGCAAGTCCTGCTGTGCCAGATCATACCAGAGAAGTGCCTTGCCCTGTGCCCTGACCAAGACAGTGAAAGAGGACAGAGACAAGATCCTGCCTGAGCCTCCTCACTAAATTGCCCACTCATGGCAGCATTAAACTCTAACTATTTTTGCTATGTCTAGATGTCTTTTAATTTTTTTTCTCACGCTTTTGACCATAGCCACATCCTGTAATGAGTTCTGTTTAACTCTGCAATGTCTGAACACTAATGCAATTTCTTTTGAGTTTAAGTGTAGCCCATCACCTTTCAAGTAGTGCTCTGTCAGCTGTGTTATTTTGACCTGAAATCTCTCCTTTGCCCTTGTCCAAGGTAACCTTTTCCGGCTAAGAACTGTGTTGGGCATAAAATTTCTGTAGCTCCTTAATGCAAATTTAGATGAGCAGCTCTGCAAGAAAAATGAAGCTCGTGGCTCTTCACTCTCCAATGGGAAAGAAAGTGTGAAAGTCAGAGTCCCTCCCCCTCATGCTCTCTGGTTTTCAGCTCATTTCCACTTAGGAAAGGTCCTTGATGCAACAGCTTGCAGCTTTGTGTCATTCCCATGGCTTAAATGTAGACATTTTTGTTGACAGTTGCATTAGGGAGTATAAAGAATTTCTAGTTCAGTGATAGTCCTTGTGAGCTGAGCTGGGCTCCCTTTCTTTTCTAAGATCTGTTCTTATCTCATGATCACGGTGTCCACGCAGCGCTTTCTCTCTCCCGTTTCAGAAACTCTCCCGCGGGCACAGAGACGATTACGATGTCCTGGGAGGAAAGCGAGGAGCAGACCCCGAGCTGGGCGGGAGACACCAGGTAACCTCCAGGCACATGTGCGCCTCTGTCCTTTGATCTGGTGCCTCCTCCCACGCCGTGTCACGGCGCCGCTCACACAGCCAGCCACCCCAGCGCCTTCCTGGGCAGGGAACGACGCGATCTGCGTCGTAACCCGGGCGGCAGCAGCGAAGCTCCCCCTCCCCTTTGATGTCTGCCCCTCGCCGGGCCGGAGCTCGCAGCCAGCGGGGTGGGAAGTGACACCCGGGCCCGCGGCGGATGCGGAGGAGGCCCGGCAGCGGTGGGTGTTTCACAGAGCTCGCTGCTCTGATGCCATCAAACAAGCGCCCACAAAGCACAGCAGCAGCCAAAACAACTCTTTGTGCTTGCTGCACGGCCCATCGCTTTCAAAGGAAAAGGGAGGGAAAACCTCCTGCATCAGCAGGTGACAGCTGTAGTGGCTGAGCAGAGAAGAATTAAGTTCTACCAATTGCTAAAGTGAAATTAATTTCCCCCAGAACAAGTTGTCTGAACAGAGCCTTATGAGTGGAGGCAGGATGGACTGGAATGGGCAGGGAAGGTCCACAGAGCTGCAGCTGTGCCATGCAGCAAATGCATAATCACATACAAGGTGCTGAGGGATGCTGGTAGTGCAATGTATGGGCAACTTCTTTCTTCTGTTTTACAGCAGAGGAGAAAGAACCCTCAGGACACTGTCTACACTGTGAGTAGAGCACTCTGGAGGGAGCACAGAGGGAGGGATGGCTGGGAACAGGAGATTCTGTTTCATAGGAGACTTTCCCCCCTGCCACCCAATTTCAGCTCTGGTTGAAAACCCAACAGCTGCTTTTCAAGACTTCTCTTCCATTCCACCCAACTCTTCCCAGCAGACCCTCTGTCTTGGCTAGAAAATTTCTGCTCGCTTCCGAGTGACAGGAGAGAAACACTGGGGAGGTGTGGAAAAGAACTTGGAGCAAGATACCTGCTAATGCCTAATGCTAGTGACTAACCAACCTTGACCCCATGTGATTGCTGCTGCAGTATTTCCTGTGCATTTCCAGGTATTCCTGTGCATCTCCAGCCCCTGTGCCTGCTCTCTGGCAAAGGCCAAATACCAGGGCATCAAAGAGGGGCTGCTTAGGAACCTCTTGATGGAATTGATTTGACTCTGGCTAAATGTGTGGTCTATGCTCCAAAGCACAGACACAGGAAAGTTGATTCTCATGTCTTAACTTGGGTCTTTGGTGCTTGAGAAATGAGCTTGTTTCCAAGACCTTTACTGCTATTGAATGAGACACTCTGAGTTCAGCTGGTTTTGAATGTGGCTACCCAGGGGTAGCCTTGGCTTTTCCATTGTCACACTGACTCTTTTCCCCCCTCTCTGCCTGCAGTCACTGCAGAAGGACAAGATGGGTGAGGCGTACAGTGAGATTGGAATGAAGGGAGAGGTGAGTCTTACTTTCCTTCCTACTGAAAACATGGCAACAGAAAACATTTCAGCTTTTGGCCAGAAAACCCCTAAAAGCTGCCCTGGCTGGAGGGGCTGAAGAAAGGTCTGGTGTCAAATGCTGCAATGGTCCAGCAGCACTGGAAGATTTTGGGGCATGTTTCTCCAGAGCAGCTCAGAGCTGCAGGTTTATGGTTTCCCCTCCATGGGCTGCTGAGGCTGGCTGGTATTCCAGGATCAGGAGAGCAAGTGCCAGCCCCTCCTTGTGCCTGACCTCAGACAAGGAACAGGGGAAATGTCCTCCTTCCCACGGCTCTGCTCTCAAATGCTTAAGAAGGCACACATCAGTCACAGCAGAGGGAGAGCTTTTAGCTCTGTGCACACACTGCTGGGGGAGGAGGGCTTCTGTCAAAAACAAACCATCTGGGGACACTTGTTCATGGCAAAATGAAAAATTGCTCTGACCTACACAGGTTCTATTTTATGTCAAAGTGTCATATATATATATATATATATATATATATATATATATATAACCTTTCATTTCCTTCTGACACATGAAAAAAGGAGCATTTCAAAACAAAGTTTAGTGTTGAGAAATGCTGAAGCAACACCAACATTTAGTATTTTCCCCTTTTTTATTCTAATGCTCCTCTGTCAGAGTCAAGCTGCGTCTATGAGCTATGGGGTTATAAAGTTGCACCGTGTTTTTTGAATGTTTCTGTTTCTGGAGGGACAAGAACACCAAAGCCCTTGTCCCACTCACATAAATATATGATCATTTAATAGCTTGCTGCAATTTTAACTGTAACAAGCACTACTCCTTGACACATTTGTGATACAATCTAATACTAAATAGTGTCTACAGAAATGCTGCCAAATCTCTATACATACAGTGAATCAAAGAAATAGCAACATTCTAACAGTATGACAGGAAAATATGTCAGCCAATGAAAACAATTTGTTTTTATTTCCTATCCTCTCTATTTTCTCCTAAACAGCCCTAGCAGCATGTCAGGGCTGGTCCAGACCTCTCAGGTGCTTTCCTGTGCAGAGCAGAGCCCAGCCCATGCACAGCTGGTACATCCTGGACACCCTCAGCACAGCATGGGGGAGCTCAGAGGCTTCTTTCTTTTTGCATAATCAGGAAAGCACCCATTAATCAGTCTGTGCTTGTTTTATTTTCCCAAAGCAGCAGAGGCGGCGAGGCAAAGGCAATGAAGGTCTCTACCAGGTAAGCACCACCTCCCACAGCTGCTCCCCTCACCTGTGGTTGGATATCCAATGGCAATGTCAGGGAGGCACAGAGAAGGGATTTTATGATGATTTTATGTCTGTTCATTTAATTATTGATGCTCATTTTAGCATCAGTTAGCTCTTAATAATACACAAATAAAATGTACTCCAAAGATCTGCAGAACCAGTTAGGATCATTTGCTGTAATCATATTTTCATAACCATTATTCAGGATGTACCTTGCTTTCAGGTAAGTAATAGCTATTTGTACCACACAAAGACTAAAGAATCACTCAGGAGTAAAAACCTCTGTAGAGGGAAAAAGATCAGACTCCTGCTCCTGAGTGAGCCCCTGCCAGTCAGCCGGGAAGAAGTAAGCAACCACTCACACTCATCCCTCACCTGTTTCTCTGGTTTTCTCTTTTCCAGGGGCTCAGTGCAGCAACCAAGGACACTTATGATGCTCTCCAAATGCAGCCTTTGCCCCCTCGCTAGGTGGGAGCCTCAGAGGGGATGGGCAGGAGTGAGAGATGCCCACCTGCTTTGGGGAGGAGAGGGGGGAAAGCCTTTTTCATCCAGCACAAGCACTGTGTGTTTCCTGTGTGCAAGAACCTCCTGGGGTTGGTGCACAGAACCTGGACCTGGCCTTTCCTTCTCTCTCTGCTCCTGAATTATGTAACTGCTTCTGCTATTAGAATGTACATATCTGTAAAGTTGTTTCCAATTATAGGGGGTATTAGGCTTTTTTTTTTTTTTTGGTCAGGTTTGTGTTGTGGGGACCAGACCACACCTTCGAACAATCACAGCTATTTCCATAGGTCTTCCTTGTCTTCCAGAGTATTAAGACATGGAATTATGGCTTTAGTGCATTCAAATAATTTGCAAAGATTTACTGTATTTACTTCCTGTAGTATTTATCTTAAGACTATTTCACCCTTTTTGCTTTAAATTTGCCTTTAAAAAACTGCTTCAGTGGAGGGCAACTTTTTTCTTTAATTATAAAGAGTGACATGATGTTACCATAGTGAAGCAGAGAGGCTGAATGCCAACCTTCCAGTAGGAAGAAAATAAGCACCAATATCCAAAAAAAGATCAAGCAATAGCACTGCCACTCATCCATAAATATGAGCCAGGTAAGCTGAGTGAGAGACTCCTCTGAAGGCAGAAAAACAAAGAAAACTAGGAGATGGGTTCCCCTATTATCACTTCCAGACAACAAACTGTACAAGAGCCAACATAAATGCAGTTTCCAGCCCAGTCTCTTATGAGGCTGCCTCTAAAAGGTGCAGGCATCACTCCAAGGAGGTACCAGCTCAATAGTGTCATGTGTTTTTGATGAATTAATAAAACAGTGCCACAGTCCCGTGTGTGTGTGTAGGGAGCAGCAGTGGGAGTGGCACGAGCTCCTTACCTGAGGTATTCAGCCTGTCTGCACCAGCCTGCACCCAGCAGCACCATCTCCCAGGGAAGCTGAGGAGGACAGGATTCCAGCTGGAGCTCCTACACACATCCCAGAAGCTGGGATGGGCTGTTGGGAAAATGCCCCAAAGCCAGGTATCAAAGGGACACTCACCTCCTGCTGCTGCAGCCTCAGTTTTGCCTGTGCCTCGCTGCACAGGGAAGGCTGGAGGAATTCAGCAAGGACAAATCCAGCCCAGCAGCATCAGAGGTGCTTCACCTCGACTCAGGAGCTGACTAAGCCATCTCACCAATCCTCACAGAAGAAGGCTGTGGGAACAAGAGCTGCTGTTCTGGGTGCTGGCCAAATGAGGTTATGTCTTCTTTCCAGGGATTGGGTGGGTTAGCAGCAGAAAAACTTGCTGAAATGGGTGCTATGCAAGTTCCAAGGCAGTTTTACTTCTTTAAGCAGTAAAACTGTACCTGCAGTAGGTGCTTGTAGCTTTTAAAGAATATTTGCAATAAATTAAAGAAAAAAAAAAGTAAACTGAGACGTGGTAATGAATGTTTCTCGCAAAAAAAAAAAATTCCTAGATCCTTTACTGTTCTCTGCAGTGACAAGAAAAATTGAGAGAACTGGGTGATAACTGAGACAGCTGAGCTGAAAATTACAGTAAAGTTATGCTGCAAAGCACTTGACGCAAGAACAAAGAGTGCTGAAAACAGCTTTCTCTTTTTAAATCACCATAACTGTATCTGCAAGATGTAAAAGTCACATGCTTTAGCAGTGTGAAATACCAACCACCAAACAACAGGAATGAAATTCTTTGTGGGGGGATAAAAAAAATCAACTTTATCCTCTTTATATTTCAATGGATACCTTGATTTCAAAAAGCATCCAACGCTGGTTTTGGGGCCACTCCCTGTGGGGCTGAGCTGAGTCCTCTCTTTGCCTTCAGGAAGCGACTGAAGCTGTTTCTGCTTTTGGGAGAGGAGCTGATAAATACAGAATTAGAACAAAAGCTTCAAGCAGAGTGCATAAAACCCAGGCTCTCCTCCAGCTTAACAAGACAAAGGGCACCAGGTCAATCTTCTGGCCCAGTCTGATGCACAGGGGAAGGGCAATCAGCCTCCCCTGACACATTTAAAAACTACAAACAAGTGCATACATGTTAAAACACTTGGAAAATGGTTTAATGATGTTTACAACAGAAATGAACTGTACAATTACAGTAAGTTTAATATATATAAAAAATTACAGCAGACAAATGCATCTACACAAAATCTACCTTTTCATTCTGATTTACTGTAATCTACACAATCTCTCAATGCCTACAGCTATCTGTAGGCAACCACTGGGAAAATAATAATAATAATAATATAATAATAATAAAGGACATCTTTAAAGAGACAGCATTTCGCCTTCCTCCTCACCCTTAGTGTGATCAGCAAGGTTTTGAAATGTGTGGGACTCTCACATTTCAGTCTCCAGAAAAGCTTGGGTTGCGTTTGGGTAGGGTACTCCCACAATGGCCCTTGATTTCAAGTGTTCTGCTGACCTCAAGTGTAAAAATGCAGTGTATGAGGAAGGCCAAGGAAAAAAAAAACCTCCCAGCCAGTGTAAGCAGGCAGTTGCACAGAGCAGTGAAACCATTAGGACCAAAAACTTGTCTTATTTAGAAAACAAAGCAAAAAAGGACTGCCCAGACACTACAAACATTCACAAATCCTCATTTTGAAAATTATGATCAGATTTAGAAGAAAGGGCTTGGTTTCCCACTCCCAATTCTTCATACAAAGGGGTAGTTTTCAAACTAACACTGCAAATACATTTTTAAAACAAAATTTGAGCTACTTCCTCTTTGGCCCACCCCTTAAAAACAGTGAAACCCCCTTTGCACTGAGAAAGAACCTCAGGTCAGTGGGGGAAAACAAAAGAACATGCTGTCTCTTTAAAAAGAAAGAAAGAATCCCAGTTGGGAGCGGCCATCAGTGAAAATGCAATCCAAATTGGCGGTCTGGTGGAAATTCCTCACGGAATATTATGTACAGTTTAAAAACCCTTTGTAGTTGGTTTTTCTTTTATTATTATTTATGAACACCTAGGCAGTGAAAACCGTTATGTTAATACATACATAGACACACCCAAAACATACAAAAATACTATTATTTCAAACTACTAAGAATAGGACAAGTTCAGTTATCTCCATGCTATGACTTTAAGAGCATTACACTGAAACAAACAAGAATTTAAACGACAATTTTTTAATATCCCAGAAATATACCAAAATATACATCTAAGCTTTGGAATTACTGAGGTTAGACTAATGCAAGTGCTGGGTAATCGTACTTAATACACAAGTCTAAGGTTCTGCAGGAAAGAAATTATCTTTGGTATCTGCATCAGGCTAATAATATTAACATTTGGATTTTGCTTTGGGATAGAGCTTGTCTGACCCTAGAACCAAACACCCCCCAATCAACTGAGATTAAAAAGATCCATGTAAAAAGTTCCTCCATTTGCAATCCCCCCCCAAAAGTTAAAAAGTCACAGGCATCTACCTAGCATAAAAGGTTGAGAAATACAATGCATAGTTGCACAGTGGTGCTGCAAAAATAAAAGAAATCTAGAAAAAAGGAACTAGAGGAGAAATGAAAAGCTGCTTCTTCTTCTTCTTTCAGGGATTTCTCACAACAGGACAGCCTCTTCCAAGCAGTGAAGGGGGGGGAAGCTCAGAAGTGCACCTCAGCGTGTATTAATCAACATCACCCAGCCCCCAGAGGGTTAAAGCACCCAGCAGAGCAGCCAATCCTGCACCCAAGTCTTCAGCTCCTCAACCCACCTGCGAAGCCGTGGCCTCCCTTCCCAGCCTGTGCCCCAGATCTCACCCTGGGGCCGGGAGTTGCTGCCCGGGCCGTTCTGGAGCCCCAGGCCAGGCCGGCCTCACAGGTGGGCTTGGTGCTGAAGACGCCCTTTGTCTTTGGTTTGTTTGTTTGTTTTGAGTTTATACAATCATTAGGAAATCTTTGGTTTTGGCTGGAAATTTTAAAAGAACAAAACAAAACAAAGAAACCGCCCCCTCCCAACTTATAGCAGCCACCGTGACCTGACAAAGCTTCTCTTTCCCATGGGGGTAGGGGAACTACATTCAAATAAAGATGGACCGGGTTAAGGATGCAGCTTCTGGCCAGGTTGGGGAGTGGGGAAGGGATACAGGATTGTCAAATAATAAAGAAGAAAATTAAGTATTTGGAGATTTCTATTCTTATTCCTTTTTTTTTGTTTTTTTGGTCATGGTAAAAAGTGAGTAGCATGTATGCAGCACTGGGCTGAGAGTGCCTCCTGGCCCTGGAGCTCAGCGTGGCTCTGGGGTGGGAAAAGGCAGCGTGGGTGGCCCTTTTCCATGGAGAGTGGAGGGGAGGGGGTGGATATTCACAGACTAATCAAGAGGACCCCTTGTAACCAAAGGAAATAAGATAAGATTGCAATTTGCCCTCACTTTGCAGTAGCTTTTAAGCAGCGACATTCAGAGGCGTTCGGGGGTCACTCCCCAGGTTGCAGGTCACGGGGTGCTATAGGCCAGAGTTCAGTGTTAATCAAAGGAGGGAGGGCAGACTTGGCAACTCTGTGGGGTTTGGAGAAAGTTAAAGCAAGTTACTCAGTTACGAGTTAGAAATGAGGTATACGACAGCTCCTGTACCTGTGGCGGATAAACACCCCACACCTACTCACACCTAGCCTTAGATACTACCACAGAGGAAGGAAATGGAACAACGGCATGGCGGGGACGCAGCAGGAGCTCCTGCCCGGGCACTGGGGGCACTTGGGGCCGGAGCTGCTCCAGCCCTGCCCCGCAGCGCTGCCTTCCCTTCCCTTCCCTTCCCCGCGCTGCGGGGAGGCGCGGCCCGGCTCCCCGGGAACTCGCCGGGAGCGGCCCGGAGCTCCAAGCCTTTCTCTTTGCGTTTTCCCCTCAGACTCGCTCGGGTGCAGGGAGCACCGGGGTCACAGAGGCCGACACATGGAGAGTGAATGGGGGAAGAACTAAAGGTTTTGTCTCAACTGCCTTGTTCTCAGGACACTGTCACGGGTGCTCTAG